TGAGGATGGGAGCAAGGGAGGGACGCAAGTCTCACAAACCATCCCCCACTGTGGGCACCTGTCTTGGGGGCAGTCTCCTCAGCAGAGTGGATTCCTCTTTGGGCTCCACATGACCCTGGCTGCTGGGGAGGTGGACAGGTGGCCAATGTATGACCATGTGGGATGGACAGAGCACCCCCAGGGACAATTCATGGGCCTGGCTTTGGGGTCAGCCCCAGGGTCCAGAGGATTGCCCCCCCCCTCTGTCCCCCAGTCCTCTGGAGCCCCAGCGTGTGTGTGTGCCCTGGGCCCACAGCGTGACGTTACCCAGGCTGGTTACAATGCAGAGTCCCCTACGGACCAGACGGAACCCCAGGGCCCACAGGCAGAGGCAGACATATTCCCTCGGCGCCACCTGGGGCAGCCACAGGGGCGCAGATAACACCCCCTCCCGTGCCCCTCCCGCCAGGATCCTGGACTTCCGCCGCGTCCCTCCCGTGGCCGGCAGGATGATCAACATGACCAGGGAGATCCGGGACGTCACGCGGGACAAGAAGCTGTGGAGAACCTTCTTCATCTCCCCAGGTAGGCTGTGCCCGGGGGGCCCCCTGCTGGCTGCACGTGACGGGGCCCAGTGACCTGTCAGTGTGTCGAGGACTGGTCTCCAGCCTGCAGTTCCCTCGGACCCCACCTGTGCCCTCCCATGGGCTTTCCTGCTCCGTCTGTCCCCTGGGCGGGCATAGAGGGGACATCTACCACCTGCTTTTTCAAAGGCAAAAGGAGTTTGTTTTGGAAAACCCCAGGCTCCCGGAATCTCCTCCCGGTAGTGCAGCCGGGGTCCAGGCCAGGCCACACCTGGGACCACCTGTCCCTGCTGCCCAGGCTGTGTGGCTGCTCCTGGCCACTTCTTTGTGCAATTTTTCTTGCAACATTTCTAGTGACATATTTCAGTTTCAAAACTTAAGGCAGTAACCCCAGTTCCCATGTGGCGCCCCCTAGTTCAGCCGTCGGCATCGTCCTTGCCCGCAGCCGAGGTCTCTGTTCCGTGGGCCTCTCACCTCAGAGGCACCTGAGAGACTGTGTCAGGGTCCGCAGAGCAGGGTCAGAGGGCCGAGGACATGTGTGGGTTTCGGGGTTCAGGGGCTCTGGCTCCCATGTTTCTACACACCCCAGGCCCCTGAGTGTTTCTCCGCAAAGTGATTAGCCATGAGCTCGGGGCCCCGTGAGTGAACACACAGGCCAGTGGACACGGTCGGCGTGATCAGAGATGTGACGCCGAGAGCTGTGGCAGCGAGCGGTCTGGGCACCAGGCCAAGTGCAGTTTCTAAATTACTTGTCTGTTGAGACACTAGAGGCCCGGTGCCCGGATCCATGCACTGGTGGGGTCCCTCGGCCGGCCTTCATCCCCTTGCAGTCTGGGACCCCTCTAGGGATGTTGAACTGCCGATTTTGGCCCGGTCCCCACACGCCAGGCTGAGGGACCCCACCAAATCCGTGCACCGGGCCTCTAGCATGCGTATAGATCTTTGGTTAATCTCTTCCCGTCCTCCCCTCCCCGCTTCCCTCTGAGATTCATCAGTCTGTTCCATGTTTCCATGCCTGTGCATTGAACGTCTGCCCCCTGGTGGTCAGTGTATGTCATAGCTACCAGTTGAACAGTTGCTTAGGCTTTTATATATATAGACTAGAGGCCCGGTGCACAAAAAATTTGTGCACTCGGGGGGGAGAGGGGGTCCCTCAACCCGTCCTGTGCCCTCTCGCAGTCTGGGACCCCTCAGGAGATAATGACCTTCTGGCTTAGGCCTGCTCCCGGGTGGGAGAGGGCAGGCCCAATCCCTAGGTGCAGCCCCTGGTCGGGCTCAGAGCAGGGCGGATGGGGGAGTTGGGGCGCCGCCCTCTGTCATGCACAGAGCAGGGCGGATCGGGAGGTTGCGATGCCACCCCTAGTCACGCTCAGGGTACGGCCGATTGGGGGGGTTGGGGCACCGCCCCCTGTCACACTCAAGGCAGGGTTGATGGGGAGGTTGCAGCGCCACCCCC